ATGTCGTCGGCGGCGTGGTCGAGCTGCTGGACGGCGTGGTCGAGACCGTCGACGATGTCCTCACCGGCGGCGGCAACACCGGCGGCGGCGGCGGCAACATGAACGGCGGCAACATGAATGGTGGCAACATGAACGGCGGCAACATGAACGGCGGCAACATGAACGGCGGCAACATGAACGGCGGCTGCCACACCGGCAACTGCCACACCGGCGGCAATACCTGCCAGAACCGCTGCTCGTGCGGCGCCTGCGGCACCCACAACTGCCCGATGCCCACCATGAAGCCGACTCCCAAGCCGACTCCCAAGCCGACGCCCCTGCCCTACTGCCCGCCGGGGTACATCTGCCCGCCGGGCTACCAGTACCCGCCGGGGTACCAGCTCCCGCCGACCTACCAAATCCCGCCGGGGTACCAGTACCCGCCTGGGTACCCGCTGCCCGGCGGCGACCACGGTGCCGTGCATCCGACCATGGTCGTGCCGCCTGGGCACCACCTGCCGCCCGGCTACGGCATGATCGGGCCCTGCTTCGTGTGCGGCCAGTACGGGCACATGATGTGTGGCGGGGCTCGTGCGCGGTCGGACAGCGCGGCCGCCACGGCCGATGCCGCCGCCGCCCCGGCCAACGGGGTGACCGCGCCATCGCCGGCCGCCGACACCCCGCCGGCCGCCGAGGCCGGCCCGCTCATCCGCGTGGTCAACTCGATCCTCCGCCGGCGGCCGGCTCGTAGCAAGGGTGCCCGCGCCGACCCGGAGGAAATCCTCCGCGAGGCGGTGCACACCATCAAGCAGAACCCGGAGTTCCTGGCCACCGTGATCCCGACCAACCTCGGCCTCACCAATGTCCAGGTGACCGCCGTGCTGGGCCAGCTCCTGCCCGGGCTGGACCTCAGCGACCTGACGGCCCTCATCCAGGGTGCCGGCAATGGCCCGGCCCTGGGGGTCCTGCGCGGTGGCCGCGACCGCGAAGGCGTCGCCGCCTCCGGCACCGCCGCCTCCCACGACCAAGGTACGAGGTCATCCTCCCGGGCCCCGGGCCCCGTGTCGCCGGGGCCGACGCCGCCGCCGCCGCCGCCGCTGCCGAAGCAGCAGCAGCAGCAGCAGCAGCAGCAGCAGCATGTGCCCCCGGCATCCGCCTCTTCCTCCCCCCCTTCGCCGCGGCCCCCCGTGGGGCGGGTGTTGCAGACGAAGTCCATTGTGTCGCCCTCGCGGCGGGTGCCCCCGCGGCGGGTGCCGGTATCCAATGTGCCCCGCACGCCGGAGGTCATCCCGCCGTCGGTGCAGCTCCCGCCGCCCAAGGGGCCCGGGCCCAAGCTCCGCCCGATGCCCGACGGCCGGGAGGAAAACCAGTGGACGCTGAAGCCCAACGCGCCGACCCTCACCTTGAACATCGGTCCGGATGGGGTTCCGCAGATGCTGGTCATTCGCCAAGTGTTGTCCGAGCTGCAGCAGCAGGCAGCGACGGCCGGTGGTGCCGGCACCACCGGCGAGCCGGCCGGTCGCCGCCACCACCCTGCCCAGGAAGGTGTCCATGAGAGTGGTGGGGATGGCGGCGCAGTGGGGCTGGTGCGGGGCCGCGGGCGCCGGGACGATGCCAATGCCATGGCATCCGCCGGTGGCGTTGGCACTGGCACCACGGACCAGCAACTGGTCGAGGCCATGCTGCAGGTCCTGCGGGGCGCCTCGCCATCGGTCGAGGGGGCCACCTCGCCGGATGCCGCGGCCCTGCAGCAGCTCCTGCTGGAGTATACCCAGCGCACGGCGGCCGTCGAGGCGGAGGTCACCGCCGCGTCCAGCACCCGGCCCGATGGGCCTGGCCATATGCCGCACGGTACCACAGTGGATGATGAGAGGCAGCCGGCGCCGGCCGGTACGGCCACCGCCCCGGTTGGCGGGGCGCCCGTAGCCCCCCCGGCCCGGCCGCCGTTTGCCAGTAACACCGGCGGCTGGGGAGCGGGCGACTCGGCGGTGACGGTGGTGGCGGGCGGCGGCGGCGGCCCGGCCGCTGGTGCTGGTGGCCAGCCGCCCGGGCCGTGGACACACCAGGGCGACGGTGCCGAGCAGCTTTACTACCCCCCGAGTGGCGGGGTGCCGGGCCACGGCGGGGCAGGGCTCCATGGGGCCGGGATTGCCTTTGCCCCGTCAGCCGGCGGGGGGGCGTCTCCGGGAGGTGGCGGTGGTGGCGGCGCGGTCTTCAGCAGTCGCCGGCAGCAGCAGCAGCAGCAGCAGCAACAAACACAACAGTTCTCGAGCGTTGATGGCGGCACCGCCGCGGGCGCCGGCCGAGGGACCCTGAGCTGGGACCCCTCGAGCTGGGACAGCCAGCGGGGCAGGCCCTTCGGCAGCATGCCGGTGCATCATGCCGGGCATGTGGCTCCGGGCCTGCCGACCCTGGGCCAGCTCCTGCGTCTGGACAATGGCCAGCATGCGGTCCTGCTGCCGGATGGCCGGGTGCTCGGCCTCGCCAGCGACCTGGTGGAGGCCGGCCCTGCCAAGCCGGCCGGGCCCGTGATTGCGGAGACTGTCCAGGAGGCGCTTGACGAGAGTGTCCATGTCCATGCAAAGGCCACGCCGGCGACGGCGGATGGTGATGAGGGCGATGATGATGGCGATGATGATGGCGATGATGATGACGATGGCCGGCCGTGGCACGCTCGCCGCCCGGCGGGCCAGGGAACCGTGAACAGTGTCCTTCAGAACAGTGTCGAAGAGAAGCACCAGGCCGCGGCGGCCAGCAGCGGGGCGGCCACCACCCACCTCGAGGGTGGCATCCACCACCACCCGGAGGGCGAGGTGGCCGCCGACCCGCGCGGCCCCCAGCCGCCGGCGTCCTCCTCCGCCATCACCCCGGGTCAGCAGCAGCAGCAGCAGCAGCAGCAGCAGCAGCCGCACTACCCCTCAGCACCTCCCCACTTGGCCCATGACGACGACACTGACAATTGGATGCCCATCCTCCCGTCCAATGCCGACCCCCACCTCCCCCCTGGTGGTGGTGCTACTGCCGGGCTCGGCGGCGCCGCAGGCCACCAGACCGCCGACGCGGCGCACCACGCCGGCTCGGTGGCCGCCGACGAGACGGCCGCCCAGCAGACGGAGCACGACCGCGCCGGGGCCGACCACGCGGAGAATGTGGAGTTCTCCCACGGCCAGCCGGTGGAGGTCTACCACGACGCGCACCGCGAGCAGCAGGACGGCAGCGAGCCCATGATGCACATCCTGCCGATGCCGGACTACCAGGAGGAGATCCACACCAGTGCCGGCGACAGCGAGTCCGACCAGCTGATGCACATCCTGCCGGTGCTGGACTTCCAGGAGGAGGACCACGCCTCGGCCCCGGCCGCCGGCAGTGACTCCGACCCGATGATGCACATCCTGCCGATCCAGGAGAAGGCCACCCTGCTGCGTAGCCAGGTGGCCGACGGCGCGGCCGGCGGCGAGGCCACCGGCGCCCTCGGCGTCTTCCCCATCCTCATGGCGGTCATGGGTGTCACGGCCCTCGGTCTGGCGGCCATGATGCTGGTGGCCACGCGGTCGCGCGCCGCTCGCCGCCGTGCGGGCGCCTCGCTGCGCTCATTCGCCCGGCGCATCACCGGAGCCCCGGAGTCCCGTCGCCGTCGCGGCGGCCAGGGCGCCGCCAGCAGCCTCGGCTACGAGGGCCCGGCCGCCGGCCCGACCGCCGTCGCCGTCCAGGCCGGCTCCGCCTCCCCGGCGGCCGTCGGTCCCGTGGTGGCTGGCAACGCCGCGGTCACCACCCTGCCGGTGGTTGTCGACAGCGCCAGCGCCCCCCTGATCCAGATGCCTGCCGCGCCGGAGGGCAACGGCTGGGCCGAATCCTGGAACAGCGACCTCGAGGAGGACCTCGAGGGCAGCGTCGGCACCAACTAAGGGGCGTGCAAGTGTGCCGGCCCCGCGTCGCGCTCTCCTGTGGCGCGCGCGCGCCCCCCCCCCCCCCGCCCCCCCCGCCCCCCCACCGCGCCTGTCGTCGACCGCGATGAGAGTCACCCCCCTGCGCGCCTTGTGCTGCCGGTCTTCGCGCCCCGTGAAGAGGGCGGCATCCGCGTGTGTCGGGAGGTGGGCATCTGCCCAAGGCACCGGCGTGTGGTGGGAGTAAGCAGGGACGAGCAAAGAGACACACGTAGCGAGCTCGAGAGAGAAAGAGAGAGAGAGAGAGGCAGAGCGAGCAAGCATGCGCGGGGAGAGCAGGCGGAAGAAAGGCATCCGCATGGGATGACGCAAAGCCCTGCCGGAGGTGGCCACATAGCCGCGCGAGAAAAGACAACCCGGGAACGGACCGGAGAAGGCTGCGAGGGCGTCAGGGTGCGCGTGGGAGCAACAGGCACGCGAGAGGAAGTCGGAGGAGCGCGCATGGGTGTCCGGACCACATCGGCATCCGTTGTCCTCTGTGCCCCCCCCCGCTGCCCTGCTCTCGCCTGCGTGCCCTCCGCCCCCGGCCGAGTGTCTTCTCCCGTCCTCGCTGTCTCCCTCCCCCCCCCCCCTCTCTCTCTCTCTCTCTCTCTCTCTCTCTCGGCTCGGTGGAGTGGACAGGCCCGAAGTAGCAGGGGCCTCCAAGTGTGTGAGCCCCCCTGTCCCCTTCCCCTCCAATTGCCCCTACCCCCCCCCCCCCCCCCCATGGCTGAGGCGTGCGCAGTGCAGACGCACATCCGTAGTAATTTACCTAGGAAATGAGATTTGTTGTAGTATTTAATAAACTCAGCTCGATTAAATAGGCACACCCATCTTCTGATTGTGGGGCGAAGGGAAGGATCCACGAAAAAAAATGGGGGGGCGCAAGCTCGGGAAGCACGCGTGGGAACCCTCGATCGGGCCGCGCGTTCGTGGGCAGCCCCGTCCCGCACACACGCACAGAGCGGCCTGCCTCCGGGCGAGGTCCCAGTGATTTGGACGCGCACGTGCGTGCCCATCGAGGGGTGGGGGGATGTGGTGGCGCGCCCGATGGTCGTCCCGGGGGGGGGAGGAGGACACACCCGGGCCGAAAAAGGCCATTAAAAAATCCCTCACATTGTGAGTGCCGAGAGCCGGCATCCACAACCGTCAACGGGGATCCGGTCGCCGATCGACCCGCGATCTGTCCCCTCTTTGTGGTCACTCCCTTTTCGCTTGCCCCCTTTGCTCCTCTGCCACCTTCGTTCGCGTGCTGTCTCTCCCCCTCTGTCTCCTGTGCACCGTCATGGGAGATGCCCCCCCCGGGCCGGCCCGCACACTGTGCACTCTCCCCCCGCCTCTGCCTGCGCCTCGAGTGCGCTTTCGTCTGGATGCGTTGGCGGAGGATCTCCACGCCCGGGCGTGCCCGGGCGCCATGGCCAATGGCCCGCCCGCGGTGTCCTGGTCCCTTGTCTTCGACCGGCTTGGCCTGGATCCGGAGCCGGCCAAGGACGACGAGTTCCTTGCTCCGCTGCCGGGCTCGCCCTCGAAAGGGGCATCTCGCTCCGGCAGCAGGAGCCATGTCGCCTCTCCGACCCGGGGCCCAAACAGCCGGGCGGCTCCGGGCGCTCGGGAAAGCCCAAGTGCCAAGAAGATCCGACCGGCAAGTGCGAAAGCCACTCCGAGGGCCTCCTCGTCCAGTCGAATGGCCATGCTGGCCACGACGGCCCCCCCGTCGGAGCGCCCCACCCCGGTGACCATGGCAATGCCGGGCATGGTCCAGGGTGCCTCCGGCACCCCGGCTGCCTCAGCCCGGTTGATGGGCCCAGCAGCGGTCACAGCGAATTCCCCCGCATCCCGGGCTCGGGCCACATTCGGATTGGGGACATCATCTCCCGCGGCTGGTCCGGCATCGACAGCCGGTGGCTCGGCCCCTCCGCCAGCCACGAAGACCATGCCCCCAGCCACCGCCCAGTCATCCGGGCCGCCGCCCCCCGCCGTAGTCATGTCACCAAGCAAGGCAGCAAAGCCGAAGGCCCCTCGAGCGCTCAGGACCCCGGCGGTCCGGGAGTCTGTTTCTGAGGCCCCTCAAAAGACCCTGCCCCCGGCAGCTCAGCCAGCCCCACCGCAGGCACCTCAAGCATCCGTGACGCAGGCGTCTCGGGCACCCGTGGCACAGGCGTCTCGGGAAGCCTTGCCGCAGGCTCCTGAAGCACCCGTGGCACAAGCCCCTCAAGCACCCGTGGCACAGGCCCCTCAAGCACCCATGGCACAGGCCCCTCAAGCACCCATGGCACAGGCCCCTCAAGCACCCATGGCACAGGCTCCTCAAGCACCCATGGCACAGGCTCCTCAAGCACCCATGGCACAGGCCCCTCAAGCACCCATGGCACAAGCCCTTCAACCACTCGTGGCACAGGCCCCTCAAGCGCCCGTGCCGCAGGTGCATCAGCCACCGAGGACGCCAGGGCGCCCCAAGGCCCCCACGCGGCAGGCGGCCCGAGCGTCCCCCCGACAGGGGGTCTCAGACCGAACGTCGCAAAAACCCCCAGCATCCCCGGTACAAGCAAGCCAAGTGGCGGCCCCGCGGGCAGCTCGGGTGCCGCCACTCTCGGCTCAGCCGGCTTCCTTGCGGCGCCCGGCCCCCCGGTCATCCTTCATCGACATCGACTGTGACGTGTCCTCCGGCGAGTCGGACTCGTCGGACGATGGGGACTTCGACATTCCGAACACGCAGGATCGCATGTTCATTGATGACCGCGACTCGGAGTCGGCCTCATCGCCGAGCAGCTCGCCGAGCCAGCTGGGGCTCCGGTTCTTGGAGGCCGTCAGCCCCCTGGCACGGGGGTCCCGACGCCGGGGGCCGCCAGCCGCCGGGGCCTTCCAACTGACCGGCCAAAGCCTGTGGGCCGATCGGGCCGATGCGGAGGCCGACTTCGATCCCGACTCTCAGGGGACGACACAGGCCGACTCGAGCCTGTGCGACTTCATCGTCAGTGACGAGGAGGATGTCGAGGAAATCGACCTGCTCGGGAGTTCCGATGAGGAGTGCCACGACGATGGGGATGGCGATCCGGCGCAGCCATGCGGGACCGGCCGGGGCCGGGGCCGGGGCCGGGGCCGGTCCGGGCGTCTGGTTCTCGGGAATTCCTGGGACGGGCCGCCGGGGTCGGAGGCGCTGGCTCCGGTCGACAGGGGCCGGACAAACCGCCGGCGCCGGCGCCAGCGGCTGCTGGCTAATGCGGAGGATCTTTTCGCGCACATCGATGATGGTGACGACCTTCATCATGGACCCCCTCGGCGGAGGCGTGTTCGCGAGGCTCTGTCCCAAGTAACCTTCTCCCAGTTCTAGCTCAATACATTACTCTCTTCTTCCGTCCCGCCCTCCCTCCCCTCGCGCAGTGCCTGAAGGGCCCGATGGGGGATGTGCCCATTTCACAATATGCGGGAATCTATCTATGGCGCACGCGCGCGCGCGTGTGTGTGTGTATGTGTGTGTGTGTGTGTGTGTGTGCAAATACATCGTGGAAGGCAGCGTCACCAGGACCGGGCTCCACCGCATGTCGAAGGAGGGGAGCCGGGGACGAACTTGGTCACGAGCCGGCGTTGAGGCCGACATCCAGGAAGAAGCCGATGAACACGGGCCGCTGTTGGGGATCTGCCAAGCATCGAGCCACATTCGCGGGCGTGGTGCCGGGAGCATCATCATTCCAGGTGAGTCACGGACATGGCGGGCTTCGTGCGACTGTCGGGGGTGGGAAAACGCACCGGCGGATGCCGCGGCTGCCGAGGAGGAGGTCAGCACGATGGTCAGTTGTTGCGAGGCGGCGCCGAGCCGAGGTGCGTCCACGGTCCAGGCGCCGGTCTCCGGCTGGCGGAACAGCCGAGCGACCAGCCGATGCTTACCGGTGGGAATTCGCTCAATGGCATCGCGTCGGGCGGTGGTCGGGTCGGCGTTGATCAAAATGGCAAAGGTGCCGAGGTTCTTCAGGTACACAAAGTAGGTCTCATCCGGGTTGCATCCGGTGGTTGGTGCATCGCCCTGCTCCAAGGGGCGGCGGGTGACGAAGATGGCGCACTGGCGCTTGCTGATCTGGGCATTCGAAACCGAGATGTCACCTGGCCAGGGACAGGGGAGGAAGCGAACATGTGTGAGGCGGCTGCCGGGGGAACGGCGAGAGGGGGGCAGAGCAGGGGCGGAGGAAAAGGCCGGCGCAGCGGCAAGGGGCCGACGTACAGCTGGGATCGCGGCCGATGGTCAGCAGACTCTCGCACTGGGCCTCGGCCGGGATCTGGAGCAGGTCCACCTCGGAGGCGGGGACCGGGGCCAAGTCCAATTCCCGGGCGCTCGTCGGGATGAGACGTCCGGACACCTCATTCAGGGGCCGAATGGCCAGCTGGATCGGCGGGGGTGTGGGAGGGGCGACCGGCTGGGCCGGCTGGGCCGGCTGGGCCGATGCATTGGGTCGTGTTGGCTGGGCCACCGGACCCGAGATCGGGGTCGATGTTGCAGGATGCTGGACGCCCGGCAGGACCGGTGGCGCCGAGGGCACCGGCCGGGGAGGCCGATCAGCTGGCATGGTCTTGGTCGGTGGACCGGTCGGACGCACGCGCTTGGTGGACGGAGGAGCCGGGGGCAGGGATGGCGGAAAGTCCGAGGCCGGGGGCTGGGAGGATGGCCCGGCTTCGGGTGTTGCACTCCCCGGCCGCGGGCGTTTCGGTGTGGCCAGCGGCGCGGGGAAGGTCCCGGAATCGTCGAGAGATGTGTCCACCGGAGCCGAGGCCGGGACCGGAACCGGGGCCGGGGATGGACCGGTGGAGGATGTGAAGAGAGGCGCGGGCATAGCTGCACAGGCCATGGCCGGGGGCGCCGGAGAACTCGGCTCCGGGAGGCCGAAGTGGTGGAAGAGCTCCGACCCGGCAAAGGGGGCCATCATGTCGGGCAAAGCCCAAGAGAGCGGCCCGGCCGAGTCCTGGGACGAGGGGGGCCCCAGGGCGGAGGCCGCCGCAGAAAGGACACGCCCCGGCTGGCGAGGCTCGAGAAAGCGGAAGAGGTCGCGAAGCTCGACCAACACGGCCGGCTCAGCCTGGGACGAGGGGAAAGGAGGAGGCCAGCCGAGGTCACTCAAGTCAGTCGAAAGGTGTGCAAGAGCAGGGAAAGGCGACCATGCGCCGTCTCCGGGGGCCGGCGTACCACCATCCACGGGTGCAGCAGCACATCCCGAGCGGAGGCCCGCTGCTCGGGATTGACCATCAGCATGTGAGAGATGAGGTGGTGGAGGGAATTCGGACAGAAGGCACTCGGGCCGGCTGGCCGCGAAGGCCCGAAGGAGTTGGACCGGGCCAGCGGCGCGGCCGTCGGCCGAGGGGCAACCAGTTGCGGACCGGCTCCCGACAGGCGGCCTGATGGCTGGGACTCCCCCAGCAGCAGGGCCGGGCTGCTGCTACGGCTGCCGCCCGCGGCACCAGCACCACTGATGGTGCCGTTGCCGAGGGCGAGATCCCCGGAGAGCGGCCAGTTGATGTTTCCATCGCAAATGCTCCGGAAGAGGTGCTTCATGTCCGGGGGGAAGGGAAGCCGCCCGTCCCCGGCAACCGATTGGAACAGCAGAACCCCGAGCGACCAGATGTCCACGGCCTGGGTGTACCCCATGTCGGTTGAGAGCTGCGAGGGGCCGGTGCTCAGGCCGCACCCGGGGCCAGCGAGCGGTCCAAACATGCGAAAGGCAATTTCAGGGGCTGGCGGTCGTCATCGGAGGAAAGCGGGCAACGCACGGGCAAGCAGCGTAAGGGAGGGGCGGATGTAGCACAGGGCATGGGCAGCGGTGGGGCCGTCAAGAGACAGCGCAAAGACGGGGGAAGGGGGGAGGAGGGGCGGGGGGGGGGGGGGGGGGGGTGCGGGGCGCACCGAAATAGATCGGCGTCCCGCAGATGGTCTGCATCAGATTGGCCGGGTTCAGGGGAAGGAGGGCATCATCATCGTCGGTGTTGCTCGCTGAAAGGCTGCCACCAGGCAGAACCCCGGACTCCACCAGCGCCGGGAGCAGGGGGCTGTTGCCTGCTGGTCGTGAGAGGCCAAAGTCCACCAGCACCAAGCGGTTGGGGTAGGCTGGCAGGACGTCGCCCACCGGGGCGAACGTGAGCAAAATATTTTGAGGCTTCAAGTCGCGATGGGAAACCCCAAGCGAGTGAAGATGCTGGTCACGGGCAAAAGGGGAGGGGGGGGGAGGAGAAGGTGAGCAAGCTGCAGCGATGACGTCTGGGCACTTTTTGAGCTGTGTGTGTGTGTGTGTGTGTGTGCGTGCACGCGTGCATGCGTGCATCTGCATGTGTGCCACGCACGAAGAGGGCCATGGCCAGCTGGATGAAGTAGAGCCGCGCAGTGCGGTTGGAGAGGCGCTTGCCCGGGCTCTGGTCAATGATGCTCTTGAGATCGCCGCCAGGGATGTACTCCATCACCAGGTAATGATTTTTCGGATCCTCACGGTAATTCCGAAAGCCAACGATATTCGGCTGATGGGGACACGTGCGGACGGGACAAAAGGACACGGAGGAGGTTAGAAGGAGGAGGAGAAGAGAGAGGGGAGGAAAGATGCGCCATGGGCAGGATGGCCGGCGGGGGGGGGGGGGGGGGGGGCGGGGAACGTACATGGCTCAGCAGACGCAGAATGCCAACCTCGCGTTTCATGGTGCGTGCCACGGTGTCCGGGTCATTGGAGGTCTTGGATACCACCTTCAGGGCGCAGGCGAGCTGCGATTCGGCGGCCGCTTCATCGAAGCCTGGCCGGCCGGCAGCACGCGAGGCTGCCAATGACCGGGAGATGGCCAAATCCAGGCAGCGGTAGACCACGCCGAAGGCCCCGTGGCCGATCTCCTCCCGGACATCGAAGAGCCCGTTCAGGATCGGGAAGTGCTTGTCATCCTGAGGCACAGGCATGGAGAAAGACCCGAATGCGGCAACCGGCTGCGTGGATGGCGATGACTCGTCGGCCGAGAAGATGACCAGCTTGAAGACTGGGAGGCATATGGGCTAGGCGTCAGAAGCAGGGCTGTCTCCGTGTGTGTGTGTGTGTGTGTGTGTGTGTGTGTGTGTGTGTGTGTGTGTGTACGATATGGTCACTTGGAGGCAGGGTCCAACATCGCCACGCACATCGGTACTGATTCGCGGTCTGGGGATCTTTGCCGAGGGCAATGACGGCGCCGCTTTCGATCGGCTCGCGGCGCTTGCCTACTTCGCGGCCGTCCACAAATGTGCCATTGGTGCTGTGTCACGGCCGAGTTAGCATCAAAGCAGGGGACAGGGCCAGGGCCAAGGAGAGGGGGAGGGGACGAGCGAACCTGTTGAGATCCTCGATAAACACATCAAAGGGCCCAGTCCGGACGGCCGGGTTCAGCAACACCCGGGTCAGCGTGCAATGCCACGAGCTGACATGGGAAAAGGTCTTCGGGATGGAGACATTGGCGCTGGGATTCCGGCCGAAGGTGATCACGTCGTCATACAGGTCTGCCACAGGGAGGGTGTCAGCAAGACAGCCAGGCACCGGGGAGTGCGACCCCCCCCCGTGAAAAAAAAAAGAACCAGACATGTGCATGGATGTACCGCGAGGCTCGAAGTTTGGCACGATCGGCAGCAGCCGGCCCCAAGGGGGCGTCGGGGCGGCCCAGCCGGCCGCAGGTCGCCGGCTCGGGGCCAGTTGCGAGATGGGCGCCAGGAAGCTCGGCGTCTCGAGGGATAGAGTCGGCCCGACATGGTCGCCCTGCGAGAGGGCGTTTTGCGAGCCGGCAAAAGGCATGGCAGGAAAAGCGGGACGTGTGCCCGAGGGCTATCCACCGGGTGAAAGCCAGTGGGCGCCCGAGAGCTGCGTCGGTGAGGGGCGTATGGCGGGCAGGGGGGGGGGGGGAAGGACGGTGGTAGGGCTGGCAAGAAAGAGAGTCCACAGAGGCAAGTGGCGGCAGTGGCGCGAGAGACACAAGCGCCGAGAAGCGACAGCAGCGGGCGTAAGGGAAGAAGGAGGCGGCGGGCGTAAGGGAAGGAGGACGCATTTGCCGTCGATCGCCCTCGGCGGGTTCCCCAGCGGGGGGCAGCCTGCCCTTGATGCCTGCAGCGTTCCGCCGGGTGATCTCCCGGACCCAGGGGGTGTCGCCGTCCCCGGGCGTCGGTTTCGGGGACCCCCCGGGCGCACGATCGTCCGGTCGCACGTCGGGGCTGCGGCTTGTGCAAGCTGGGGCTGCGGTCGCCGACGGACGCTCACAGGCACTCTCCCCCACAGACACACACGCATGCGCATGCACGCATGTACGCGGCGCCCACCCCCGGCATCTGCCCGGATGGCGGGACGGGGCAAGACGGCCGGCCCTCTTCCAAGTCCCAACGGTCGCCCGATCGTTACAATTTGAAATGCCGGCCCAGTGGCGTGGCCCTCCCCGGACGGGGGGGGGGGGCCATAACAGATTGCACCCCCTGTCTCCCTTAGTCCTCGTCTCATCGCGTGCTCTTTCTTCCTTGCCCCCCCCCCCCCCCCCCC